GGGGGTTCTCTATAAGTTAAAGAAGGGGGAGGGGGGGGTATAAGAAATTAACCCCTACAACCGCTAATAATAACATCATTAGTATATAACCGCCGCCCTACTAGTGTCAGATATCATTATTACTGAGAGACCCATCGACTAAATATGTCACAGACACTGCAGAACATGCATTGTATTATTAATATCACAGACAAATCAGTTTTTGTGCGGACAGATTTTAAGATATCAAGATTAAGTCATCTTAAATCCAACATATTCAATATTATGTCTATTCTAAATCCAACATACCAAGATAAAGTCTATCTTAAAACTATCATACCGAGATTAATTCTATTCTAAATTCAACATACCAAGATTAAAAAAATATATTTTCTTATAAAAACATGAAAAGTCCATTTCTTCACGGATCCTTATAATAATAGGATTCATATCCAATATTTTACATTATTAAAACGTACACATAGATTCCGAAATTTATACAACCACAGAACATAGTCTCAAGTATTTTCTTAAAACTCAAAAATTTTAAGGTTCAGTTCAGTTTTCAATGTTTTTATTTGATAGCATTATAAATGCGTATTGATTTTGTTGAAACATATACTTTTTAGCTTGCATATGGAAAAAAATCAGGCCCGTAACCAGGGGGGGGGGTGCAAGGGTGCAATGACAAATTTGCACACCCCTGAAAGAGGGGTGCAATGACGAATTTGCACCCCCCCCCCCCCGTCCCATATAAAAGAAATTGTTTCTCATAATTTTCTAAAATCTAGTTACCAATAATATAGCTCAAGCAAGAGTTGATTCCCTTCCCAACCCAAATTATAATCTTATTGTGTGTTACTCATTATAATAGCCATTTTTGGGAGTTTCAAAAACATTATTTTAAGCGAGGATATTTGTCATTTTTATCAAAGTAGAAGGGGTTTTTTGAGTACTCAAAAATTCACTAAGAATGTCTCAATGTCTCAATGTCAATAAATGAACTCTTTTAAACAAAATATTAGAAATTTTATCTTTTATTCATCTTCATAATATCATGATGAGGCCGAGGACAAGAAGCCTTGATTTTAAATAATGAATTTCTTCCTTAAGCTAAAGTACCATTCATTTACTTTTTATGTATATTGTAAATGTAAACTGAAAAGTTTCAGACACTAAAATGTAACCCTTAAAAGCTGAAATACACTTGTTAAAAAGTTAGTCTATATAGCGTACATTGACAATGTAATAAAGAAAACCATATACCACCGGAAAAACAAACCAAGCATTGCTTTTTAAAAAAAACCTTGCACCCCCCCCCCTTGCAAAAATCCTGCTTACGGGCCTGCACCCTGCAAGCGGTGGTTTATCTTTGCAGTTCGAACAAATCAAAAACGAACCAAAAACAAACTAAAAACGAACTAAAAACGAATTGAAAACGAAATAAAAACAATCTATAAACGGACCAAAAGCAAACTAAAAACGAACTAAAAACGAACTAAAAACGAACTAAAGACGAACTAAAAACGAACTAAAAACGAACTAAAAACGAACTAAAAACAAACTAAAAAGGAACAAAAAACATATTAAAACGGACTAAAAACGAGCTCATAACGAAGTTAAAACGACCTATAATTAAACCTTAAACAAACTAAAAACGAACTAAAAGAACTAAAAAAAATGAAGATAAACTAGAAACGAACTAAAGACGAACTAAAAACGAACTAACAACGAACGTGTTAAAAAGTATTTTTTAATACAAACCAAAGCACTACTTTGAGAAAGGGTGGATAGTGTGTGTTAAACATGTTTACGTTGGGACTTAGAAACTATTTTTATCAAAACATTAGAGAAAATTGTAAACAAAAGAGCAGAGTAGAATAATAAACGTTTATTTTTTGTACTTTTTTTAGTTAGTCAATTTGAATCACGTAAACGCCTAATTTTACGAAATAATTTATTTCGCATTCTTTCCGATATACCCTCTGTAAACGATAAAGTTTAGTTGGTTTTCAATAGGCCAGCCGGGGGAATAAAATATCCCCATAAAATCAGGGAAATCGAGGGGAAAATTAA